TAATTATATCCATCCCTAACAATAATCTTAATTAAGTTCTATATGAATTACATCCAAAGGAGCTACTTTCAATAATAATTTTGCATATAAGGAGTTATTAATCATTAACATAAGAACTATGTAATTTTACCTCAAGATGATTTTTTTACAAATTAATTAATAGTTCAATTTTATAATTTTTTATGAAATTACAGTATTACCCAAAATTGGATTTCATAAACATAATGAATAATTTTAAAAAAATAACAAAATTAATCTTCTCTATAACTTTGAGTTTACATAAATGTATTATTTTCTCTTAAAGAGTTTTAACGTTATGGCACAAACAGCAAGTGAGATAGAACAGTTTGTTATAACAAAAAGGATATCACTATTTTAACATAACCTTTGTTATATCTATTCGGTGAAGAATTATTTTAATATCCTGTTTTGACAGTATAGAATTGTTATCTTCAAATAATCGATATAAAGATAACCCTTCAACTATTTAATAGAATGATCTTCCTGAAAGTGGTATTTCTTGTCACTATTCCTAGCTCTCACTTATACCACCATTCTAAAAATTTCCTAAAACCCCTTAGAAGCTTAAGGAGCTCTAGCCTTGAAAGGATAGTTTTCGTCTATAGAGATATGATTATGGTATTTATTTAAATCTAAAGGTAATTTTATTTTAGAGAATGATCTAAAATAATTAAAATATCCAAAATAAATTGAATTTTATTAATTTCTTTTTAATTGTTAATGTTTACATATGTATATATTAATAAAATCTATAACTTGTAGAAATTATATTTATATCAGTCAAAAGCGAGAGTCATTTTAAACACAAGCTTGATTAAGTTAAAATTTTGCTTTAGAAAAATGTTTCACTCTTTCTGACATTAATTTCTCAAGGTTAACTCTGTTAAGTTCCAGTAATTCAATACCAAAGATTTTAAACTTGAAAGTAATAAATTGAATATATGAAAGATGAATCAATAATGCATATCTTGGTCATTTATTCGATGCTCTTGAGGATTTTTATTCTATATTTTAAGAATTCAATTATGCACAAGGTTATGTGAGTACCCCATGTACAATTGACGGAAATTCAAAAGCACTAAATCGCTAATCTATCTTTCATAACATTTAGTGTAAGATATTTTTGGATTGTAATATAAAATACAAAATAAAGTAATAGAAATTCAATAATATTTGGAAAAAAAGGGAAATGCACCACAAAAAAGAGTAAGTAAGAGTGTTGTATGAGGTTTTGTCCTTATCCAATGAGGTTGATGAAGTATTCCTCCCTATCCTCATAAACATGTCATTATGGAAGTGTTAATTCAATTTGTTACTCTCCTGATGGTACTACATTAGCATCTGGTAGTGGAGATAATCTATCCGATTATGGGACGTTATTACAGGATAATAAAAAGCCAAATTAGATGGTCATTCATATGCTGTTAATTCAATTTGTTACTCTCCTGATGGTACTACTTTAGCATCTGGTAATCCTTTTATGGGATGTTAAGACAGGATAATAATAAGCCAAATTAGATGGTCATTAATAAGCAGTTTATTCAATTTGTTACTCTCCTGATGGAAATACATTAGCATCTGGTAGTGATGATCACTCTATCCGTTTATGGAATCTTAAGACAGGAGAAGAAATCGTCTCGTCAGAAAATCGATATAAAAACATTTTAGCATAATTTTAAACTCCAATTTTTTATAACAACACGATTGAGAATATGGTATTAATTATATATGATTATTTAGTTTCACCGATTATCACTATTCTTCTAATATCGCAATAGCTTATATTTTAATCTTAAGGAGCTCTAATTTTGAGAGGAGAATTTAGTAATCAATTGGGCATCGACTTGAGGTCTTTATTTAAACAAAGAGGAAGTATCATTTTAGAGAACGATATGAAATTAAATAAACGATGAAAATTCATTAATATTAATCATATATAATATATTATCACTTTTCAGCATCAACTCTTGAGAAATAAAACAAATAAATTAAAGAAATAGACACTTTATGATGCAAGTTAAAATACAAACTAAATTCAATCAAAAAATTTAAGAAAGACCTATTGATATTGGATGCAGTAAATCTAGGTCAGGTTTTAGAAATCAATTTTGAAGATGTTAGTTTTACTTATGGTATTTTATTGTCCCTAAAGAAAACCGAAATTAAATTTTTAGCTCATTTCCGAAATTCTCAATTCATAGAGTAAGGGTGGAACCGAAATAGTTTTTCATTCACCAAAATCGGTACAGTTCTACCTCAAAATACTTTCTCCAGAGAACTTCTTTCATTGTTATAATTGCCACTTTAAAGTCAATCCATTTTATAATGGTATTTTTAATAATTTTTTTTAAGCTGAGATTGATCGTACGATACAGAGGTTTTGTCAAAACCCTATTTTGGAAGCTTCAAGAGCTTGTATTTTGAAAGGAGTTTTTTTAAATTATTGAGGGAAGGATCTAAAATAATTTTTAATTTCTAAAGAAATTATATTTTAAAAATATCTTTTATCAGCTGAATAAATTTAATCGCTTCTTAACTGATAAGTTATTTCTAAATATCTAAGAACATTAAGAATCTGAGATATGAGGTTAAATCAAGGATTTAATTTCATGTTATATCTGAATCCTGTACTTCAATGCCTGATATTGATGTTCGTTTTATCAGTCAAACATGAACAAGTGAGAGAATAATTTTAACAACCATCTTGCTTAAATTTACATTAAACTTTAAAAGAAACAAATTTTTTGTAAGTAAAATTCACATCATACCAAAATTGACAATTAATTTTTCACTCATCGCAAAATTCTAAAAATTCATTTAATACTTATAAGGTTCCAACAAATTTAGTTTAATATATTAAATTGGATTGATAGACAGGAAAAATAAAAAAATTGCATTCAAAGTAAATTGAATATTAAAAAAAAAATATCATTTCCAAAGACATAGAAAAATTGATATATTAATAGTATATAGTCTATTGATTATCCTTATTATTTTAATGATTTAACCTATTTCTATTAATCTAAAGAATAAAAAGTGTAATATGATAAGGGTAAATTACTAAATATGAAATTTTAGGTGATGCATGATAATTGATTGTTATTGACTTTATTGGGAAGCAATTTAATGTTACAACGAAGCTAATCTTGAATATGATTGTGTTTTGGTTGGCAAGGGTAATTATTTTTATTGCGTGTTTAGGTAAAGAATTTTTGGTTAATTTATAATGAATTAAAGTTGTAACCCGAAAAGTTGCAATTTCAAGAAGTAATTAATTGTTATTAACAATTCTGTTTAATCTACATAGAAATATGTAATATGAATCAATATGAAGTTGCAATTAAATAATACAATGAAGCTATATCTATTGACCTTAATTATATTGATTACATTATCAATTCTTATTTCTAATATAGATTTAGAAATTTGAATTTATTTGAAGAGGCAACTCAATATTACAATGAAGCAATATCTATAAACCTAGATAAGTTTATGCAATGCGTATAAAAAGGGTAATGTAATTGATGGTTAAATATTAAAATCTAGGTATTGCATTATGTAATTTGAATCAATATGAAGAAGCAATTTAATATTACTATCAATATCTATTAACCTTAAATGTGTTGATACATGGAATGGCAAAGGCAATTTATTGTTAAATATTGTATATAGGTATTGTATTATCAATTTAAA